ATAGTCTTCTTCAAACACTAGCATTCAGTGAAAGAAAGTGTAGTCCTCAGAAAACCGGGAAGGTTAACTCTTGCCCCAATTTTTGAGGCTATAACGATCCTTTTACAATCCGAGAGATCCGAACTGATACATTCTTTTCTTGACGCAGTCCATCCTGACCAACCCTGTCACTGCGTCTGTAAAACCAATGACATCCGATAGCGTGCCGCGATGTAAAATGCTGCCTATGCCAAATGATAGGCAGGCGACGATTGATCAACGCGTCGCCCTATATCTAACGAGTGAGCGAGTGGTGAGTCAGCAGCTCCGGACTCAGGCCAAATCATAAACAGTTATCGAAAGAATAGTCTAATAATGTGTGTTATTGGAATGAAAACATTGATTAATATCCCAAGTTCGACTCTAACTATCAAAAACTATGATGTCAAAATGTGAAAACTAACGATGTCACCTAACATCGAAACAGAATCGAGCGCATCTTAGGTTTTGGCACGTCAACAGAATCGAGCGCATCTTAGGTTTTGGCACGACCTTTTCACTCGCGCGAGTTACGAAAGAGGGTTGCAATAAAAAGTTGAGATTCTAAAAGCTTGCTTGTTCAAATTTTAGAGAAAATGATTCATCACACTTCTTACAGAACCTGAGTTTTTGGCTCTTAAATGATTACGGCTCGTAGGTATTTAATTAACATGTTGAGTAAATCGTAGATATAACAGTGGTACAAGTTCGTAATGCACTAAAAGGATCACAAAGACGAGGCTGATTTGACAATCGATGATACAGGAGATTGCTTTTCATAGAAATTGTGTGAATTCTGGTCAATCTTCAGCCCTACAACTTCCCAGCAAATCTGTTCCGTAAAGTATCGAGACAGCTTTTAAACTTTCATTTAACAAAATCCCACGTGAAATAACAATGTTATCCACAACCGACAAGTTCTGAATACCCGTGATACCTTGTTGATCAAAAGGGCACGAAATTATTTCCAGCAATTGTCTCCTATGGAAGCTGTCAATTTATTCACGTTTCAATGTTGATTGCTCTCAATTAGTTCACAATTAAGTAGCATACACATTTGTGGAGAGTGCTGTAAAATTTCAGAATCGACCGTCGCAAAGTTAACTCGAGCCGTATGCTGAACGTTGGGGAGGTTCGTCGCAGGACCCACTCGGGCAACGGCCGCACCTTTGATTTTCGCAGCTTTGTTTCCATTCTTTCATCGCTGCTTTTGGTGTAAAGAAAGGTATTTACGTGCGAATATACAATCAGAAACAGTAAAAGGATGGAAACAAAGCTGCAAAATCAAAGGTGCGACCATTGCCCAGTGGGTCCTGCGACGAACCTCCATTTCGCATACCGTACTCGTCCCAATTCAGTATACGGCTGATTGGACTTTCCTGGGGCGGTATTCAATCCTTCCCCTAGGGGTTGGGGGACGAAAAACCCTTTAAATTTTCTCTCCTTCCCAACTGGGATTGTCCTGATAAAGGGCTAGGTTTAATGTATGTATTTATGTCACAGTAAGCATGCATTGAAAATGAAGAAACTACATCGTTAAAAACAAATAAATTTAAAGGGATTTCCGTCCCCCAACCCTGGGGAAGGATTGATT